GAAGGGTGAAAGGAGATGGAAGCCATGGCATCCTTCCCCCTTCTATGGTGACTGATCACAGATCCTTAACCATATTGAATACCTGGGTGTTGCTGTCAGCCAAGATATTTCCGTAGAAAGCCCACATGTAAGACAAAGTGGGAAAGCGTACAGTCTGAGAACGATATATGCTCTGATAACTTGTGAACACCATCACGTGCCCTCGTAACGACAAGCTCATGGACAGTAATTCCTTCTTGGCATGCAACAGGGCGGGGCTTTTCCACTGCTTGCAGCTTACTGAGAAAGCCACTGCACATCTGTTTGGTGGCTTGAGCCATTGAGCATTCTTTCCATAGACTGCCTGATGTTGTGGTTTAACCCCAGTCAGCAGCGAAGTCCCACATAGCCGCTCGCTCACTCCCCCCCCCCAGAGGGATGGGGGAGAGAATTGGAAGAGTAAAAGTCAGAAAACTCATGGGTTGAGAGAAAGACAGTTTAATAGGTAAAGCAAAAGCCACACATGCAACCAAAGCAAAACAAGGAATTTAGTCAACACTTCCTGTCGACAGGCAGGTGTTCAGCCATCTCAAGGAGATCAGGGCTCCATCACACGTAACGGTCATTTGGGAAGATAAATGCTGTCTCTCCAAACGTCTCCCACTTCCTTCTTCTTCCAGAAGCTTTGTATGCTGAGCGTAGAATCATAGAATGATTTGGTTGGAAGGGACCTTAAAGGTCATCCAGTTCCAACCCCCCTGCCATGGGCAGGGACAACTTCCACTATACCAGGTTGTTCAAAGCCCCATCCAACCTGGCCTTGAACACTTCCAGGGATGAGGCATCCACAGCTTCTCTGGGCAACCTCTTCCAGTGCCTCATCACCCTCACTGAGAAGAATTTCTTCTTTACATCTCATCTAAATCTTCTTTCTTCCAGTTTAAAGCCATTGCCCCTTGTCCTATCACTATATGCCTTTGTAAAAAGTCCCTCCCCAGCTTTCTTGTAGGCCCCTTTTAGCTAATGAAAGGCGGCTCTAAGGTCTCCCCGGGGCATTCTCTTCTCCAGGCTGAACAACCCCAGCTCTCTCAGCCTGTCTTCATAGGAGAGGTGCTCCAGCCCTTGAATCATCTTCATGGCCTCCTCTGGACTCACTCCAACAGGTCCATGTCCTTCTTGTGTTGGGGGCCCCAGAGTTGAAGGCAGTACTGCAGGGGGGTCTCACCAGAGTGGAGCAGAGGGGCAGAATCCCCTCGACCTGCTGGTCACGCTGCTTGGGATGCAGCCCAGGATATGATTGGCTTTCTGGGCTGCAACGCACGTTGCTGAGTCGTGTCCAGCTTTTCATCCTCCCTCTGAGTGTTTCTCCTCAGGGCTGCTCTCAATCCCTTCATCCCACAGCCTGTATTGATACCAGGGGTTACCCTAGCCCCGGTGCAGGACCTTGCACTTGACCTTGTTGAACTTCATGAGGTTCACACAGGTCCACCTCTCCAGCCTGTCCAAGTCCCTCTGGATGGCATCCTTGCCCTCCAACACATCAATCACACCACACAGCTTGGTGTCATCGGCAAACTTGCTGAGGGTGCACTCCATCCCACTGTCCTTGTCACTGACAAAGATCTTGAACAGCACCAGCCCCAATACCAACCCCTGAGGAATGCCACTCATCACCAGTCTCCACTTGGACATTGAGCCGTTGACCACAACTCTTTGAGTGCGACCACACAAGCAATTCCTTATCCACCGAGTGGTCCATCTGTCAAATCCATGTATTTCCAATTTCAAGATTCCATCCCACTGTCCTTGTCACTGACAAAGATCTTGAACAGCACCAGCCCCAATACCAACCCCTGAGGAATGCCACTCATCACCAGTCTCCACTTGGACATTGAGCCGTTGACCACAACTCTTTGAGTGCGACCACACAAGCAATTCCTTATCCACCGAGTGGTCCATCTGTCAAATCCATGTATTTCCAATTTCAAGATTAGGATGTTGTGCAGAACAGTGTCAAATGCTTTGCACAAGTCCAGGTAGATGACATCAATTGCTCTTCCCTTATCCACCAACGCTGTAACCCTGTCATAGAAGGCCACCAAATTTGTCAGGCATGATTTGCCCTTAGTGAAGCCAAGCTGGCTGTCACCAATCACCTCCTTATTTTCAGTCCCCTCCTTATTTTCATGACATCGTATGGTATGGGATATCCCTTTGGATCCCAGAGGTCTCTTCCAACCAAATTGATTCTGTGATTTAATTCTGTAAATAGCCTTAACATTGCAATGACCTCCTCCCCTTGCCCCTGCTCCGACTTGGACTTACCACAGACTGCAGTCTCTTAGGGGAGTATCTGCTCCAAGTGGAGCCTTATCTATGAGCCACAGTTGCTTCAGGGGTATAGCTGCTGCGGCATAGACTTATCCACAACCACAGGCACTTTGAGGTGCACCTCTTCCAGTGTGGCCTTATTCATGGGCCAGAATTCCTTCAGAGGTGGATCTGCTTCAGCATGACCTTACCCACAGCCACAGTCCCTTCAGAAGTGAACCTGCTCCAACATGGCCTCATGCACCTGCTCCAACGTGCCCTCATGCCCAGCCACTGATGCTTCAAGGTGTACCTGCTGCAGCATGGACTTGCCCTTGGGTCACAGATGCTTCGAGGTGTACCTTCTCCAGTGTGGACTCATCCTTGCGCCAGTATCCCTTCAGAGGTATACCTGCTGCAGCGCAGATATAACCATGTCCACAGATGCTTTGAGATATACCTGCTCTGGCATGGGCTTATCCACAGCCACAGAAGTTTCAGGGTGTCCCGCTCCCACATGGACTCATCCACAGGTCACAGTCCCTTCAACTCGAGTTCACACTGGAGTTCCAGCCTGTCCAGTACAGCAGCACAGAAACAGCAGCAGTGCCCTGGCCATCTGCCAGCCCAGGCACATCGCCATTGTCATTATCAAAATGTTCCCAGGCACAGCAGAGTAAGACGATAAGCAGTACAGCAGTACAGCAAGCAGCGAAAGCAAAAAACAACCACTAATGAGCACTAGGCTGTAATATATAGTAAGGCAAGCAAGCCCCATGGCAAGCACAGAAGCCTGTCAATTAATACCTAAACAGCAATAACAGCTATAAATTCGATCTGGCACATTCCAGTCAAATCTGTCATTATCTTGAACCCTTCGAGCCCCACGTTGGGCACCAAAAAGGACTGTTGTGGTTTAACCCCAGCCAGCAGCTACGCACCATACCGCTGCTCGCTCACTCCCCCCCCCGAGGGCTGGGGGAGAGAATTGGCAGAGTAAAAGTGAGAAAACTCATGGGTTGAGAGAAAGACAGTTTAATAGGTAAAGCAAAAGCCACACATACACGCAAAGCAAAATAAGGAATTCATTCACCACTTCTCATTGATAGGCAGGTGATGAGCCATCTCCAGGAAAGCAGGGCTCCATCACGCGTAACGATGACTTGGGAAGACAAACACCAACACTCTGAATATCCTCCTTTCCTTCTTCTTCCCCCAGCTTTATACGCTGAGCGTGACGTCATGTGGTATGGAATATCCTTTCGGTCAGCTGGAGTCACCTGTCCAGCTGTGTCCCCTCCCAACTTCTTGTGCACCCCCAGCCTCCTTGCTGGCGGGGCAGAATGAGAAGCGGAAAAAACCTTGACTCTGTGTAAACCCTGCTCTGCAATAACTAAAACATCCCTGCGTTATCAACACTGTTTTCATCACAGATCTAAAACATAGCCCCATACCAGCTACTACGAAGAAAATTAACTCTATCCCAGCCAAAACCAGCACACCTGGATAAGCTGTCACTTTTGATTTTTAAAACATTTCACAACAGAGGGTTAGCCTAGAATGGGAAACCTCTTCTGAGCATCATCTGCAGAGGCCTCTCTGCTCACAAACACATGTGGCATAAGGCTGTCACCATCATGTCTTATGTCAACAGACGATCACGTCCTCTCTGCTTCAGCAAAGCACCCTGGATTATCTACCCTCCAGCAGTCAGCTGCTGGCCTCTGTTTTACATTTATTATATTTCTATATCAATGCTTTTATCCGTTCTTCCAAGCCACCATTCAGGATTTAGAGATGCTCCTTAGGAACATCTCCTTTTCTTCGGACTGTCTGGAAAACTGATTTTAGTTATTCTTTTGAGAAGAAGTTGGCCTCCTATTCTGTTTCTCTGAATGTTAGACTTTGTTGGCTGGGGATAGAAGAGGGAGTGTGTACACAAAGGCTCTCATTAGCCTGGGGAAGCTAATTTCCTTAAGCCTCGTTGATAGTCAACCAGGGAATGATCCAGAGCACTTAAATTTCGCTTGCTCCTCTGAGTCTCCCTCGAGAAGTATCTGTCTCTCTCCATTGCCACTACAGATGACTGCGTTGATAAATATTTGTCTTTATGAATGCTTCCTTGTTTGTTTGATCTTTAACGGGGTGCATTTTTCTGTTTCTTTTGCTTTGTACTGTGTGTTTTCTATGCTGAGCAGAATCCACCAGATTGAGGGAGTGGGTTGCTTTGTTAGTACTATTACATTTTGACTTATAGCTGGTTGCATTTCTAACCTATGAGTCAGGAATTTCTATATCACAAACTTAAATTAATATGTATCTCATCAGTGTAGAGTCTAAAAGTTATGGGCAAGCTTATGGTTCAGTTTCACTACATAGTGCTGTACTGAATTCAGTAACAATGTTCTCGGTTAGAACAGCCAGGGACATGGGTAGATGATGTTTCCTACAAACATTGCTCACAGCCCTGCTGCCACCTTATTGAACTGATCAGATTTGGAATACGAACAGCAAGTGCTTAAAGAGCTTTGAAAAAACATATTTGTTTTTACAGTTTATAGAAGTTAAAATTAGCAAAACAAAGCAAAAGCGTGCCATTCATCTCTCGATTAATGTCCCAATTGAATATGCTGGTTGGTGGATGATATTTGTGAATGTTATCATTCCCAGAATGTACTTGTTAAAAAGCCATTTCTCTATTTCTGTTGCAGTGAACTATTTCATAAAAAATGGTACAGAAGATGTGTTACTGTGCGGCAATAGCACTGATGCTGGGTACGTACTTTAAAATATCTTCACTTGTAGTTTGATTTTGTTGTGGGATTTTTTTTGCTACATTTTTCTTCAGTTCTGTCCACTTCTTATCAGCATGAAGTGGATATTTTGACTTCCTTGTGTCAGTCATAATAGGAGAGAGGATAATGACAATATTGTGCATAGTAATACAATATTCTGAACTGCAGGGAAGAGAAATTTGTGTGTGTCACTTATTCAGATCTAAAATCTTTAGGGGCCTTATTACAGTTCTTTTGCAATACATTTAAATTTCTCAGTAAAAAAAAATCATGAAAACTAAGTAACGCTTTGGCTGAATGGAGAGTATTTTAAAGGGAATGAAACAGGAATGGAAACAAAAGCTGGAGGGATTTAGACTGATGATGAATTATTTGGCTTTTGGCAAAGGAAGATAAACAAATCAACAAATGCTAGTCCCCAAAATAACATGCTTTGGAGGTGGGAAGGAACTCAGTTTTGAGTTGTGATGTACATTTGTACATGATATGTTTATAGACTACACGAGTTTCATTTTCTTGTAGTATAGACAGTGAAGAGATCCAGAATAATTCCTGTAGCATACTAACTTTATTCATATCCCTACCACCTGTAGATGCTAACTATTCCTCCTGCATCCGGTCCTCAGGGTCTAAGTGCATTATCTGAGAGTGTGATTTTATTTGACAGGTTGTCATGATCTTGATGGAAATGGAGGAGTTCAGATGGGTTGGAGAGAGATGGGATCTTGTGTGGGCAGAGGAGATTATAAGGCAAGCAAAGATTGTAGGCTATTACGAATTGTAGGAAAAGGAAGAAAAGACCTTAAAGTGGTAGGATGGATGAGCTTTTGATCTAAATATGTGAAAGTACTTGAACCAGGGAGGTGGATGACCTAAGTCAAGTGAGGGGAGGAGGTGAGATGATCTACTTTTGGAGGGAGATGTTTTGAGCTGATAGAACTAAATGTGGAAGAATGAAAAAAATAGTGTTTAAATTAGGAATAACTTAATGTGGAAAGAAGTATGTGTGCACAAGGAGACAGTAGGAAGATGAAGGGAAGATAAAATCTAAACTTGCTTGTGGACAGAAGGGCAAGAAAAGCCATGGGGTCCTGAAGAAAGATGCTTTACTTTCTGCTGCCACTGTCTATATCTGTATTTACATAAGACAAAGGGAAAGCTGAAGTGTCAGCCTTCTCTTTGCATGTCTTGTGTGTCTGATCTGTATTACCACTCTAATTTAGACTGTAAGCTCCTTGGGCAGAGGGCCATGCTTTCCTCTTTCTTTGTTCCACAGAATGTACAATGTCAGCATTCATTAATTAAGTGCTTTGTTGATTGTAATACATTGCATTTATCCAGGCTCAGGCTGGACTCCAAGACTATTGGGATGTTTCCCAGGGATTCCACGATTTGGCAATCTACCTATGCTGGTGGACTTCAGCCTTTGCTAGCCAACAGGCAATAATATTGCGTAAAAAATATTCTGCACAGCAAAAACATTTTGCACATCATGAAATATTATGCATTGTTCTCTCTGATGACCTGAGCCGTGGTGGTGGCAGGCTGCTAAGGTCATGTGCAATGTTGAAAGGGTTGATTAGATTACAGGTAGTTTGTGAGGCATAGTTTAGGGACTACTGCTTTGGAATTGTCCAAGTGGTGGGAAGTTAAATACCAATTCAATATCCATGGAGTATCTATACATTGTAGCCTGTATGGATTTAAGGATTGGGTTCTAGCAAGGCATATTAGCAAAACCACCCTTATTTCCTTCCCTGGAAAGTCAATAAATTGCAACGTGTCAGCAAAAAGCCATGGTTGGAGATAACCTCCAATGGAGGCACTATGCCCATGAGAGAGTCACAGCCTGAAACAACCAGGGGAAAACTCTCCACTCTCATGTATAAAAAGAGGAGAATGCCACCCCCCACACCTAGAGTCCTTGTACTTGTTTTGATAAATACATCAAAACTATCAGTGTTTGTACCATTAAGGGAAACCCACTTTCCCTTTATGCATGATTCTTCTTCAGCCTCTTGCAGTTTTAGTTAAGTATTTAATACCACTGTGTAAGGTTTGGTTTTAAATGCCTAAAAATGGGGAATAAATATTCCTACTTATACTGTTTTTTAGCTCAGGACTAGCAAGTGTAGTCTCATCTGTTATACCTTGCACAGAGTTCCTGCCAGTCATCCACTCCTGTGGTTTAAAGACATGAAGATAATTAGGAAGATGATCCTAAGGCCTCGGGGGACTTGTGAAGTCATGTATTCCCACCTGTTAGGATAGAAAGTCCATCATTTACAGGCTGATGTATCTAACAGACTGGATTTGTCTTCTCTTATCCTTCAATAGTCAAAGCCAAAAGCAAGTCCGTTCAATAGTAAAGCACAAAATCTTAATGCGTGGGACATTTGGGAACAGGTTGCATTACAGGATCAGGGGAGGTGAGTTAAATGTGAATGGATGCATCAGATTGTGGTTCCCCCGCCTATTAGTAATGAAATTAATGACAAGTGAGGATGCTTAAGTTGGGAACCCATAAAGGCATCAGGAAGGTGGGGCAGGGAAAGACAGCTGGCAAGGCCATGTCTGAGTGTTCATAGCATTTGTGGAGCTTGTTTCTGCTCCTAGTTTGGAGCTTGAATTTGTTAGCCTCTGGGGTATGCTGAGGACCCAAAGGAAATGCAGGGAAGGGTGGTGTCATGTGTGCACTCCTGGAGGGATTTGTTGTTAGAGTGAGGGATATCTGTGTTGTGGCCAGGATATTAAATCTCGAGGTAATTGACAAAGCCATTTTAGTGCCTTTTAAAAAGCATGTTAATGACACTCTGAGGTTTGGCTGGTTGCTGTTATTATAGAAGAGTAAAAAAAAGTCTAAATAAATCTACTATGGCAATTATTAGGTGATGAGACTCAGATGGTCTAATGTAAGAGTGTGTAGTGATGGAGACTGCAACCTGAGCTGGAGTAGCAGGCCAAAATCAGCAGGGAAATGACCATCAGTGGATGCTATATCACAGGCAACCTAATTATCTCTGAGGTGGGGGCTTTATTATGTTACTAAAAGGGACTGTTTTCTGAACAAGCACCCAAACTGCCAATGAAGCAGGAGGTAACGGATCTAGCTAATATTGATTCTAGTTCAGAAGGGATTTGAATAGATGTATGTCACTCAGCAGCAGCAAACATGTCTCTAGGACCTTACCTGGCAAATGGAAGAAGAAACATTTATTTATGTTTTTAAGTAAGCTCAAGCAACCTGAAGAAGCTACTTCAAAAATCATGCTGCAGAGACATGGTAGGAATGTCAGGGAGATGACATATTTCTTAGTTGCACAAGAACTAACCTGTCTGTGGGGTTTCTCATGTGATGCCCCAGAAACTTTCTTCAGGATACTTGAAATTTTATTTTTCTTCATTTAATCAAATAGAACTTTTGTGTTGTTTTTCCTTTTGTTTATCCAACTGCATTTTCCTCCTTGATGTACTGCAAGAATTTGCTTTGTATTTACAAGGAACAAAGAGTCCAATGGAAATAAGAAGTAATGTTTGGAGAGGAGAGAAAATCAAATGATTATGAACGAAGTTGTTCTTTGGCTCAAAGTGTATGCTAGTGACTTGTGTTTGGTGTTTAACAACAAGCACATTCAGAGCACTACGTTAATGGTAAAATCCCCTGCTCTGAGATGTGTGTCACAGATTGGTCAGACACTAGAAGCAGTGCTAACAGCAAGGTTCTTTTAACAACAACAACAACAAAAAAGTAGTGTATTTGCAGAATTATTCATGTTTCTAGATGTATTTTGAAGTTAAACTGGGTTATTCTTTTGGATGTGGCTGCACTGGGTTTTATCCAAGTTGGTTCTCTTTGGAATTTCAGCTTCTTTTATTTGATTTGATTAAAACAAATGGAGAAAGCTCAGGTAGTCTGATTTTCAAAGGGATTACAAATTCTATAAATTTGCTTTTCAATTTAATTCCCAGCATATAGCTTACGCAATTTTGAACGCCTTCTTTTATCCCTGAGGAATGTCCAGTAAAGATCTGGTACAATGATCAAATATTTGGAGGATCTTAACTAGGAGCAGAAGCTGAAAGCTGCTCTAGCCTTTGTGAAATCCAGTCTTAGCATCAAGAGGACTATGCTTTACAAGGGCTACAGAACAGCAAGTGACAGCAAGCAGCACCATACACTGCCTATAATCAGGCATCATGGTCCATTTGAAGGCATCTACCCTACTGTGTGAAAGTGGCCCTTGAGGGCAAAATTAGCACATATCTACAGATGAGTATTTATGGTGATAGGGCCAAAGGGAAGGCCTGTAGTTGGACACAATGCTTTAGGGTGTGCTGAGAGACCTACAGCAAGGACAAACCCCGGCACTCAGTGCCTGGCCCCAAGCATTGGGATACGGTCATTACCAGGCAAGAAGTAAGGGAGCGTCCAAGGGCACTGCTCTCAGGAGAAGATACAGTGCTGATCCCACTTTCAGATCCAACAAAGCATCCTGCTAGAGCACATCAGCAGTGCCTCTACCAGGCATCGCCCTGCTGCGATCATCAGACCAAATCTCCCAGTGAGTGGGCTGTGGGAAGAATTTCATGTCAGGCCGCACCAATCTGCTTCATGCCTCCCGTGCAATTACAGCTTGCTCCTTCTCCATGACTATCAACTGTTCATTTAATGAGATGACCAGTACTGCAGGGTCCCGTGCTTCCCCACACAGTAAAGATTTATGGGGGCTGCAGCAGCTTGGAATTATCTGTCCATGAGAAAGGAAGACACATTTCAACTCTAAAGCATTTCCGCTTTTATCCTGTTGTGATTTCACGGGGACATTTTTGTGCTATTTTTTCTTCCCCTTCTGCCTGAAGGTTTGGAAGAGCAATAGAAACAGCAAGGAAATTCATCCATTAGGAGGAAGAGAAACAGACAAGATGCTATCAATGTACAAAGTAAACAAGCAGACAAAAAAGAGAAACTTATCTTTGTTC